ATTGGGGAAAAAAAAGAAAGAAAATGAAAAACAAAACAATAAGAAACTTGCAGGTGTGACTGTGCTCCTAACCATGACATACAAGATGTGGTAGATGCCCCATCCCTGGAGACAGTCAAGGTCAGGCTGGACCAGGCTCTGAGCACCCTGAACTAGCTGTAGGTATCTCTGTTCATTGCAGAGAAGTTGGACTAGGTGACCTTTAAGAGTCCTTTCCAACTCAAACGATTCTGATATAACCAATTTAAACAAGATATCTACTGGTTTCTTATTTTGCTTTTGACTAAAGAGCAGAACTATGAATGTTGCATTGCTTAGAACTGAAAATTTATCTACTCAGTGCAATGGCAATTAAAAATAACAATATAAAAAAATTTCACCTGAAGATGAGTTTCAATACATGCTTGTCTCTCTTCAGTGAGTGTTGTCCTGTCTACTGTAGATATATTTCTATGCAGCAGATTAATGTTTTTTAGAATAGGGTACTAATATATTTGCATGGTGATAAACCATATCATCCTATTTTTTTTTTTTTTTTTTCCTATTTATGACTAGGCAGTAGAAGCTATTACTATTTTTATGTGCTCAAAACTGATAACAGCTCACACTTAAAGACCAAACTTTGCAGAAACTTAGTTTACTGTAAGAGGCAAAGTGGCCAATTTTGTTCAGTGAGCTAATTTTCTCTTAGGCTTATAGTACCGTAGATACTGCTTTTTTTGTGAGTAGAAGAAAAGTTTGGACTCAGTGGCATCTAAGTCTGTATTCAAGTTTAAAGTTTGTATTAATTTCACATGTTACTTTAAGTCCAGTATTTATATGATAACACAATGCTAATCGATCATTTTTTTGTTCTTTTATAGAATCTGGCAGGATATTATGATCTTTTATATTAGTATAGCAGTCTTTTGTATTTCTGGTGTTTCGAGTGTCTCACAGTAAGCTGTTGTTACAATACAGCACAAGGGACAGAAGCTCTTGATTCAAAACTGTTCTATGGTAAAAATGCTGAAGGCTTACATGTGGGTATCTACCCAAAAACACATTTTTCCCTTTAACTTCTAACAGAGTTCTGGTTTCCATGTAGCTGAATGATCAAATGAACCCAGGAAAATGCTCGCTGACTTCACACGTCCTGCTCCTATAAGAAATACTTAGCTGGAGCCTTCAGGATAGTCAATACAATGAATATGAACATCAGTAAAGTAATAAACATCCTCAATGTGATTAGGAACATGAGTTAGGCAAAATCTTTCCTTCCTTTTACATTTCTATTTTTAGTTTTCTGCAAAGTGATACATAGAAAAACTGAAGTTTTTTTGCCAAACTCTGTACTGATATACATAACCATGACTTTGACCTTTTGAGAAGGTCTATGGACTTCACTGAGCACAGCACAAAGCAGTATAGGCTGTTATATCCCTGTAACTAATAGGGATTTCAAGATAGCTATTATCAAGTCAGAAGTATTTGATCAACAAAAATGACCAGTTATCTAAACCTTGGAGAGTGGGATAGATGAGGACAGAATAAAGAACATAAATCAGTAGAATCGTTGAAACATCACAAAGCCAAAGAAATGGGAAAATGATGGAAAAAGTCAGCAAAATCAGAAGTGTCAGAAAGGAATAAAAGATGCGATGCGACAAACAAGGGTTGCAGGCTACTTGCAAAGACAAAGAAATTTTTTAATAAGTGCATTTCAAACAAAAGATCTGTGAGGGATTGCTCAAATCAAGGGGAAGTTTTCCATGGAAGACCTAGATAGCACGGGGAAACAGAGTTTCTTTGCCTCAGCGTACATTAGGGAGAAAAGAGAGAAACTTTCCAGAATTGAAAGTGTTTTTGTAGAACAAAGTCTGGAAGATACTGAAAATAAAGCCTGCCCACTGGAGCTGACAAAATAGAATAACAACTCAGCAGAATGGTCCCAGGGCAGCTGGTGTCTTCCCTTATAACCTCTCCCTCTCCCTCCCCCCGAACCCCCACCCCCCAATAGAGTGTAGAAGGTGAACACTGACAAGCGGACAGCAAAGACTCAACTACAGCATCTGCACTGCCCCAGCAGAGTACAGGTTATGTGGAAAAAACCCTTTTTTTTTACCCAGCCTGTGTACGTGGTGTGTATTGGCATTCTTTAGTATTCTTTTTGTGTGCAAAATCCTTCAGTTAATCTTCAGCTGAAGTCTCCTTCTACTTTCCTTCCTTTTGTTGAGGATTTTTGCTTGCAATAGATAGAATTTGGGCATACAAAAAGGGAAGCTTTTCTTCTGCTTATATGCCATCCTTGATGTGGAAAAACACTAACAGGCATCAGCATGTGTGCAAAAATGTATATTTTAGAAGCAATGGTAACAAGTCCCTTCTTGCGGGTGAGTGAAAGCAAAGGTACTAACGCTTCAGTTAGCATGGGCAGTGCATGCTTATGGTTAGAGTAAATGTTATCTTAATGCTCAATTAAGTCTTACTCTTAAGAAACTGAAATCTGCAAACAACTTCAACGCATGACTTAATGTATGGCTTTATTTCATAACTGATATAGTCTTCCTTTAGTTTCTGATTACTAGCTCCTGGTTAGCAAGGCCAGCCTCAAGAGAAAGGGGACAAATTGCATCCTCCTATGCTTTGCAAAAATCTTTTCCCTGGAAATTAGATCAAGATACTTTAGCTCTTGTAATCTACATTGCTGCTCTTTGACACTTGTTTGGCAACTGAGACAGACAGGATTCAAAACATTATCTTAGAGGTGAAAGGCTACATATCCTGTTAGTGGGAAAACTTTCATCTACAAAAAGCTGTGGTATTTGTCTAGAGACTAAGGAAGATCTGACATCAGGAAAAGCCTTTGTGAAATCCACTACAGTAACAGAGGTATTCACCTTGATTTAAAGCATTATTTTATGGTGAAATCTAAAAATGGAGCAAGATTGAGCTATAACTTAAATGCAGGAACTAAGACAAATAACAATTTCTATGAGGAAACGGAAGTGCCACAGGGATTGGGTTCCAAAGCAAACTTGTCTTATGAAAAGGATATGAAGTTAAGTAATGGAAAACAAACCAAGGATTCAAAAAAATATTTTCTGTCAGAAATGATAATAAAAAATGAAAAAGATAAATAGAATTACATAACTGCCTGACATTCAGGAAGGAAAGTGAGCTTTTGATTAAAATACACAAGAAATTGTTGAAAATTTTATCCTAGTGGAATTAGTACCTCTACGATGTTGCAAAGGTCAGAAAAAATGTGAAGTATTGATTACCTTGCCTGTGAATCAATCCCACAGTAATGCCACAATGAAGACCTCATATAGTCGGTCCTGTTTGTCTTAGGACATTTTCTGAATTTTTACTCTTGAAACAATTCACTTTAATGCAGAGTTACTGGCTTTGTTTTCTTTGTTTGTTTTCCCTGCTTTGCTTTTCTGTAGTGGAGCAATAAGAACTCAACTCAGTTGCAGTTTGGCAAGAATTAAACATGGAGGAATGAGAGAGGGAAGAAAATAAATAAATTGCACCCATTCCAGTGTTACTTGTTTGGAACCAAATGACAGCACAGTCATTCTGCCATGCTTTCTACTGGGTTCCATCAGTAGCTGGCATGTTGTACATGCACAAGAGGAGGTCAGGCAGTTTGCTGAGCGTTGCCTTTTTTACTCTGAAAATCGTGACCTTCCTGCTCCACTGAGCAAAGATGGTCAGGAGTTCCTGGAGCAATTTTCCAAATAAATGATACTTTTTTTGTAATCCAAATTTCTTGAAGGAATGTTTCAACAGAAGATTTTCCAGTAGCCTGCTAATTCAGATCTGTAGGCTGAGAGAGACCAGAGCAAAGGCTGGATAGAGAGACAGATGTACTGCTTCACTACGTGCCATGATGTGACCCAGTAGCACTGATGTAGAGATCACAGTCTCTGTTAAAGATGCCTACTGAAGTCAATAACCCCTCCCCCCCCAGTATGTCTCCTAATTAGTTCAAGGCAATTTTTTTCCTCTTTTTTTTTCTTTTTTTAATTTGTGTTTTATTTTATTTTTTCCCCACCAAATAATCAACAAAAAAACTCGTAATTAAAAAATACTGAGTTTGTCCCTATGTGGAAAAAAACTTCTATGGAATTAGACTTTTAAGGCTATCAGTTTATAGGTGCAGAGCAGAAAGAATTTTGATCTTTAAGTTTTTGCCTGTATCTCCTTTCCAGCAGATAGTTAATTTACTAATTGCCAGTATTTTCAAAATGAACTAATGTTGCCATCAGGTCACCATGAACTGCTTTTACTTTGCTATCGTCTTTGGTTTTCTCCAGATATGACCTTACCATACGTAGATATCCTGGAGAAATGAGCTGAATATGGAAACCTTTACTTGACAATCTGTTTGTTGAACAGCACTGTTGGAGGAATACAAGGCACCAGAGCATTTTTCTGCAAGTTCAGATGATGCTCTCATTGAGAAAGTCCCTAAAAGTGTCCTGTTCCCTATTTTTTAGTATTGAAAAAACAAAATATTTTCTAAAACTTGCTTTCCTAAAGTAGTTGGTCTTCAGTAAGCACCTATTTGTGAATCTGTACAGCTGAAAATCTTCAGACTCCCTTTTGCCTGCCTCCCACCAGCTCCACATCTCCATGTCTGCTTTACACATACTTTGGTGAACAGGCGAAGGGTACGGGGTTGGAGAGGAATGCAGGAAACCTTAATTTCTCTCAACTCTCAATAATGCCTTTTTGCTACCATCTAGTGGTGATAGACAGGTGTCATAACACAGGTGCTTGCAGAGAGGTGGATTTTAGCAACAAGGAAAAAAGATGGAGAACTGCATACAAAAGTTTCCCCAGAATGTCTTTGCTGTAAGATTTTGCTTTGCAGTCCCTTGGTGCTGATCCTGCTGCACTTTCTGTCAGTCTATGGCGCAGTGCAGAGAGGCCAAGGCAGGGCTGTGACCTGCTCTTGCCTGGGATCCAGCCTGCCTTGATACTACAAGTCTTTCTTCTGCTGTTCCCAGATGATTGATGCTTGCCTGCTTTGGGGTGCTGCAAGATGTTAGAATGCCTGAGATTGTGTGATACTTATGATGCTGAAGGAAAGGCCACAGTTGTCTTTACCCTGCAATCAGTTTCATCAAGAGGGCAGTGGAGCCTTTACTAAATATCCTGGATCATGTCATAAGGGACGCAACACATCAGCAATAACAAGGTATGATGATGATATGTCTGAGGGTTACAAAGATGTAAGTCAAGTCCAGAACCTTCTATTACCTGTTGTAATAGGTGGCCCCAGACTAAAAACATTGCCACTTGCCAAACTGGGAGAATATTTTCCACTTAGATTAGAGGTATATGCCAAAAATAGAGTGCTTGTTTTAGAGAGTACAAGAGAATCTCCCCTAGAACTTAAGTTTAAATATTGATATTGAGGAAAAATAAGAAAGGAAGAAGGGAAGGAGGGAAGGAAGGAAGGAAGGGGAAAGAAAGCAAATGTCCTCTGAAAAGGGAAAGCAGTAGGTGGAAAACCTGAAATCAAATTCTGAAATCAAGTTAGTGAAAGAGACATTAAATATAGAGGTCCATTTTTGGCTCAGATCACCACAAACAGTTCCTAAAGAAAAGGACTTTCTTTACATTGGTGCAGAGCTCCCTTTTCAATATCCCACATTCTGAAGACAGATATTTTGTGTAGAACACAGCAATACAAATCCAGAATATTTCATTCTGTTTATATGTGTGAGTGAGTTCAAGGAAAAACAAATATCTATTTTGGTTGAGATCAGTTCTACAGCAAATAAATACATTTCCACACGTACATGATGGAAAAGTCTCTTTTCCTTTTGCTTAAAATTCACTTACCTTAGAATCACAAATATATTTCCACCCAGAAAGGAAACAGGAAAGAGGGAGAGTAATCACCTAATGTAAATTGTATTTCTGTCCCTAATCCTGGAATTAAATCCTTCCAGGCCTCTGCAGTCAACCCACAAATACGTCTTTGGAAGATCAGACTTAGAATTGGATGCCTCAGTAACAGGAAAGAGGTGTACTCTAAACTTCATTGTGCAGCTTTCCAGTGTTAGCTGTATGAATTAGTGAAGATTAAAGCTGTCTAACTCTTGGCTCTGACAAGCAGAAGTTAGGTTTTACAAAATACATGTTGAAATTCAGTGTGCATGTGATAAAAAAAACACACTTATTGAACAAACTGCTATATTTTGAAAGGCGAATCTTATCTCACACAAACAGATGACATGGATTTAAATTTTCAGTTCTATTTAGGTCCCAAATGATAGACTAATCCTAACTGTGAAATATTTCAGTCACTTAGAAAACAGTAAAAGAGAAATAAATCACAAGGCAGCTGTAGCTCTAACATGACCAAAAAACTAATGATCCATATACTCTGTCTGCTTTTCTATAGGTGATGTGAAACTGAGTTTAATACAGGAATCTTCAAAGTAATCACATCAAATGACAGCAGAGGGAGCTATCATTTCTCTTCAGTTTATGGTGTCCTTGCTGAATCCATTGCTCTCTTACGCCTAGTGTAGTTACTATCAGGAATCTTGAAAAATACAAATTCTGAAACGTGATGGAACTTTTCCAAAAGGGAGTTAGAAGAAAATACATGTAAATATGCAATGTAAGGCCTGAAATCATCTTCTGAACATGAAGGCCCTGCAATAAGCACTTTGTTCTTACAGAACTAAAATGTAAATAATGTTGGGCTTGTCTGGTTAAATTTACCTTTTCCCTAGAAACATAAATGACAGACTAGTTAATCTGTAAGTTCTTATCCCTCATGAATTTATAATTTATCTGCTACATTTTGCTGTCCTTACTGAAGCGCTCACACAGAATGGACAGGGTAACACTTGCTAAAAGTGTGCAGTGTCCTGCCCATGGAAGCCACAGGGAAGCCATACATTCATCCATTGAAAGAACTGACAAATTAACATATTGCATCCTGTGCTGCCCTATGTGTGAGATAAATTAACTAGAAAAAGGGTTTTTTTCCTTTTTTTTCTTTTTTTTAAATCTGAAAACTCAACGGACACATATGAAGTATGGATTCCTTGGATATATTTTTTTTTCTTTCCTTCTGCGGCTTGAGTGATGAAAGCATGGCCCAGGTGGCCCCAGTAAGTGAAGTACTGAAACTCTGGTCCACTTGGATTGAAGTGAACAGACAGGTGAGGTTTCATGCTGAACTGGCTGCTGTAAATCCAATGCTGAATGTCTTTTATGATAAGCCCCATAATACCGAAACATAGCCCAAGATTTGTTTCTAGACCCATTTGAGGCAGAATGAATGCTCCACATCCTCACACTGAAAGCAGCTAGAACAATGCCTGAGATCTGCTTGTCACAAATCTAGAGGCTCGGCCATGGTCCTTCCCTCTCCCAGCAGGCAGTGCTGGGCCTGATGAACCCAGGGTATGGTTTGTCCTTTGGGCTGCCAGGGCACACTGCTGACTCTTCAACTTGCTGCCAAGCAGAACCCCCAGATTCCTTTCTGCAGGGCTGCTCTCCTGCTGCTTGTCCCCCAGGGCAGGAGATCCATACGTAGATACATAGATCCAGGGCTGCCCATTTATCTTATTAGAATCCTGGGTACAAGATACAAGATTTGTGAGGAATACCTGGAATACAACAGAGTAAATTGACAGCATCTGTAATGGTAAAAGCAGAAGTTGCAAGTATTTTTTTAATTATTATTTTTACTCTTTTTTAGGGAAATAACACGAAACAAGTTTGTGTGATGCCAGCAAGTCTCACCGCAGTGAGGTATGAATTTAGTTGCATCTGTCATGAGATGTAATTCTGATCCCAGTGTGATCCTGGCAGAGTTCCCACTGACTTTGATAGAGTTGAGATGGCACTTCACAGAGCCTCATCAATTCAGGAAAGCTCAGGGTCTGCTTTGGCATCTCCATTTCTCACAAACCCGCTGCAGTGTCTCATTCTTGCCTCTGCTGTTCCCACAGGCATTCACTTATCCTTCCCTCCTGTCTGCGTGTTCACTTCGACCACCTTGCCTGGCTTTTCAACAAGCATTTTATGTCCTGATCATTGATCAGTGGAGAATGCTCGATGTGTTCATTATGGTTCTGCAGACAACTATATTGTTCCTTGGGATGACTGTACATCCATCCGTTGGTAATCAGTGGCATGCTGAGGATTTTCCATTATTGAAGATGTTGGAGGTAGGCTACAGTATTACAGATTAGATTTTGGAGTACTGCATAGACTTTTTTGCAAAGCAAGTTTGGCAACATTTGATTCAAAGAGTTACTGATTTCTATCAATAGTCAAAGTTGCTTTTCACTAGCTCTCTGCCATTAGTAAAGGCTGCACTTCTTGTCCTTTATGGATGTAAGACTTGTTTAGATCTTGATTCTCTTTTTCTATTTTATGTCATATAGATCTTCTTCTAGGCCTTTTTTTCCATTTATTAGAACAAACACTGATAGGAAAAGTACAATGTCTGTGAATAACACTCCATTAAGTTTAACTTACAAAGTTGAGTGAATTAACTCAGATTCTCACATTTCTAAGAGCTCTGTCAAATCCAGTGCAGATGTTGGGGCTAAGGGATGACAATGAGCAGAAATTTGAGCAAGTGAATAAATTTGTTGGCGGTACAACAAATGATGGTATTTTCACACAATCTGGTATTTTTTCAGAAGTCATGGTTTGGGATCTGTCTTGTAGATATTGTAAAGGTACACACCTACAAAGATTTTTTGTTAAGTAAGCTCGTTTCTGTTTCAAGCCATAGAGGAATAGGTTTGCTATGATGTATCACTCCTTCGTCTTGTCTTGCACTGAATAATTTGTGAGAATTAAGAAAAAGCATTTAGCCCCAGCATTTAGCATTTAGCCTGGCTTACCTTGGGGTGCAGGTGATGCTTCACATGCATTTCGATTGCTTACAGGCAAGTCTATCAGTATGAGTCTAAGGCTCCAAGCAGCCGACTGGAATGTATATTGCCAGATATGTTGATTTACAGTCCTTTGGATGTTGATGACTTGCCCTATCATACAGGGCAGTGATGTGAAGGTATGAGAAATGGTTGCTGCGTAAACATTCTGTACCTCTGACAATCAAATCAGTCAGTACTCTGTTGCCCATTGTGTTTTCACTGAAAAGGTTGTGTACATAAAGTAGTCAGTGTGACCACTGATATTTACTGTGCATTTTTAAAGAAAAACTTCTGGAGACAGAATGTGTATGCGTGTAAGGAGGTAATGCACCACATTTTTTGCCTTCCTCAGTTTTTATTCAAATCTTGCTGTTATATTTATTGTTATATGATAAAAACAAACAAACCAACAAAAGGTGTAATTATGGTCTTTTGAATCTGAAAACAGTTTTAAAAGCTTTGAATTCTGAATCAGATCAAAGTAGCGTATATAACGAGACAGTCTTTGCTAGAGTTCTCATTGGTTGCAACCTTCTAAATGTAATAAAACAAGTGAAGTTGATCTCCCTTTCCTGTTTTAATTATGTCACTAAATAGCTGCAATCTCCAGCTGACATTGTAATAGTAAGGGGAACTTACTGTGTTTTTTTCCTGAAATGGAAGTTTCTCATGAAATCCTAAGGAACATTTCAGATAGCTGTGATGGAAACAATAATTCTGATTAGCTCACATTTGACTGTGTTTAAATACAGAACATTTTGGCATTCAAAACAGTATTGCAAGGGCTGATATCTCAGCTCTTTTTAGCATACAGTGTTGAATACACAAACGTGCACAACTTGAAATCACACAAACGTGAAAATCTGCAATTCAGAATCTAAATTGCTTCGATAAAAAGACAGGCAAAATATTTCCTTTAAATCTAAATGCAAAGTACCTTTATGCTTCTATTTTAGGAAGCAAAATTGGTAACTTTTACAAAGGAAGCATCTCTCCTCTGTACTTTAGTACTGATTAGTAAATGGATATGCAGAAATCTCTGTATGAAATTAGACAAGCATGAATCTGTGCACTCCAATATATTTAATACATGTTCTCTAAGACCTCAACAACTAAAGCTAATGCTCCCTCAGCTCCATTGAACTAATTAAGTTAGGTCGTTATGTTAATAATGGGCTGCCCTTCTGCCTGCATTTATAGCACTTAGCAAGTCAGTGTGTGTGTGTGGATGCTTACTGCATGAAGGAGAAAGCTTCTGTCAGTGAGTTAGATTAATCCATCACGAGAATTAATGTGACATGATTACTGTTGATATATGTGAAGAAGCAGGCGTGCACAAACTTGATGCAAAGAGATATCTGCAGCTGTAGGAAGTAAGAAACACTTCAAAACATTAGGCAAGGGCTATGAGCCTGTACAGTTGAACAAATGGGCTGCTGATGCCGAGATGTGCTGAAGATAGGCTGCTGATATGACAAATGCACAGGGTGCCATGGGATCCCAATGCTGCTATCAAGCATTTACTTTAACTCAGTTGTGTTGATGTTTTGCTACAGACTTCTAATAACACCTTTTGTAAAATATTTCCCCAGATTAGTTTTCAGTTATTTTGCTTTCTGAAGAAGAGATGCTTGAAAATCAATTAGGAAAAAAAAAGAAAAAGAAAAAGAAAAAAAAAGAAAGAAAGAAAGAAAAAAGATCAGCTGTACTTTGGACATTATTTTGGTTGTTCTCTAATTTTGCCAATTACTTCATCAGCCACTTCATCTCCTTCTGTTCTGCTGACTGTGTGCCATGTCCAAGGTTGCTAATGATTTGGAAGTTCCCAACTACTGAAATGTGGTCCCTTAAGCCAGTGGTAACGGGCTGAGAAGAAAATGCTGCATTGGTAAATATTCTTTTGTGTCATAAATATTAAAACATAATGAAGAGTTGAAAGCTGCGATAAAGGAAAAAGCAGAATTGCTGAAGTGAAAATTTATAAGAATAACAAATTGTCTTCCTGACAGAGGTAAATATGCATGTGGGCTTCTTTGTATGGCAGATACAACTATTAGAAAGCAGCATAAAACCAAGCCAAAATAATTGCAAGGTTTTGAGATGATCTTAATGCTGCTTCCTAGAAGGTGGTGGGCAGTATTAGAATTTCAGTTATCAAGAACAAAGTGGTAGAGAACTACCAACAGCACCTGACAATTTAGACTGATCATTTACTTAGCTTCAGCTCACAGGAGCAAGGTTTGTCTCATAGTACCATGTGTAATTTATTTTTCTTATACACAGTCAGAAAAGGTACTAAGATACTCAAGAGTCCTGAAGAAACAATCTCAAATTCACAATGCACTGTCCTGCATTTCCAACCACTGGCTGAGGCTGCAGAGATAAGGATTATTGTGTTGAGGACACTTGTAAGCATTGGAGTCAAGAGCAAATCGCCCAGATGGTTTGTTATGCAAACAAATGAGCCCCCCTCTCCCCCCCTCCCAAGTATCTATTCAATGAAGCTGTTCATTTTAAAACAGGATCTTATATATAAAATTAGTTTAGGCATTTGTCTGCAGTGTAGCATCCATTTACAGATGAGGTTACTGTGGTGCACTCAGACTTCACAGGCATGATTCATGGTATTCATTTGTGTGTTTCCTAACGCATTGCAATATACACAGCCCAACCCAGCTATAAAATAGCTATTTGATTGCATGCTAGCAAATACATATTAGACCCAGTACATTTTGAATAAAATTTGACAGCATGTGAATCGCTGGATATAGCTGGCAAAGAATGGCATTAAAGTCAGCCATAAGTATCAGATTGACTATGGACATCTATAGGGGATAAATAGTGCAAGTACCCATCGCTTCTTGGAGGTATTGCTTTTATAAACAGTAGTGCAAGAGCGGAAAAAAAATAATCAAATAACGTCCTATGAAGGATATCTTAAAACATTTTGGACTGTGATTTCAAAATCGAATTTCCACAAGTAAAGAGAAAAATATCGTTCACTGTGGCACTTTTTGCAAAGTCTGAAGGTTGAAAGAAAGTTATTTTGTAACCAAGCACAAAATAGGCATTTGAAAAATGATTTAGCTGGCAAAAAAACCACAATTTTTTTCCACATTAAGATAACTGAAGAACACCCAAATTGTTTTTTATTAGACTTCTCATATTTACTTCTTGGCTGACACATGCATGAGATATTCAGTCCTAAAGGTCACTTCTGAGAAAGCAATAAGTGACTGGAAACAGCACTGCAGGACAAAATGATGTCTCATTGCTAACTATTATTGGTAGTGAGTGATAAATATTTTACTCCAGAGGCTACAGGCCAGCTCCTGTAAATAAATTTCTGTTTCTCAGCTGTAGTGACAGCTGAAAGATGGTGTGACAGAGTGGCTCTTCCTGAGTTTAATTTTTTTATTAAAGAGAGGATGAGATGGAGTGGCCTGGATGTGTCACCTCATTGCCCACAGCAAGGCCTGAGGGCTGCCTCTGTGGGGCCCTGGCGGTGTGGCTGTGAGGTGTCTGTGCCGCACCTCGAGTACTGTGTTCAGTTTTGGGCTCCTCACTACAGGAAAGATGTTGAGGTCCTGGAGCGTGTCCAGAGAAGGGCAACAAAACCGGTGAGGGGTCTGGAGCACAAGTCTTATGAGGAGCAGCTGAAGGAGCTGGGATTGTTCAGTCTGGAGAAGAGGAGGCTCAGGGGAGACCTCATTGCACTCTACAACCTCCTGAAGGGCTCCTGAAGGGAGGTTGTGGTGAAGAGGGATTTGGCCTCTTCTCCCAGTCAACGAGCAGGACATGGGTTAATGGCCGCAAGTTGTATCAGAGGAGGTTTAGGTTGGACATAAGGAAGAACTTTTTCTCTCAGAGAGTGGTCAGGCACTGGAATGGCTGCCCAGGGAGGCGGTGGAGTCGCCGTCCCTGGCAGTGTTCAAGCAGTGTTTGGGTGACGTGCTGCATGATATGGTTTAGTACTAGTGGTGGCAATGGTGATGAGGAGACGGTTGGACTGGATGATCTTATAGGTCGTTTCCAATCTTGTGATTCTATGATGCTATATGTTTCTCCACTGCCAGAAGAGAGAGAGGAGAGGCCCGGACAGCCCCAGTGCTTCTCAGCCCTGAGAGCAGTAGCAACAAATGATTGGGGCCTGCATACAGCGCTCGACACACACAGCTGCCATGTCATCCCTTCTTGTCTGGACCAGTGCTGCCCTTTAGGCTGTTCAAGCATCAACACAACGCTGCAGTCACCACAGCTAATTTTCCCTTTTGTGTGCTTTGGTTGTTCGATGGTTTACTTTTTCCCTTTCCTTTTCTATTTGGCGTTGACATTCATCCTTAAGGTTTAATCATGGGGTAAAAAGGAGAGGGAGAGGAGAGGAGGAAAAAGAGGAAGGGAGGAAGCAAGAAAGGGGAGGAAGGGAGGGAAGGAAGGAAAGGAAGCTTTTCAGATGTTTTCTTAGGGGGTGGGTGCTGCTATCCCTTCTGGAAAGGCAAGATAGAAGTAGCTGTCTCTCTGTGCAGCAATACGTTGAGGCCTACAACATCCTAAATTCAGGTTTCGCAGCCTGAGGTACCTCCTACCTCCACCCACCCCCACCATCCCCGGCCGGCCCGCAGGGCGGCGCCCTTCCCTGCAGCCGCCGCCCGTAGATGTGGCCACACATCGCCCCGCCCGCCCGACGGGGGCGTCACAGGCACGGCTCGGCCCTTTCCCCTCCCTCGCGCAGGCGCGGCCCGGCCATGTCCGCCGTGGAGCGGCGCCTGGCCCGTTTTCGGGCAGCTCGCGGCGGGGCTGCCGCCGTTCCCCTGCGCCCCGCTGAGCCGCCGGGAAAGGCCGCGGCTCCGGAGCCCGCTGAGAGCCCGGATGGTGGCGGGCAGGTGAGCGCCGCGCGATGCGGGTGGGGGCCGTGCGGCGGCGGCGGCGGCGGCGGCGGGGCCGACGTCTGAAGGCACGTCTCGCTGCTGCCTCCACAGGCCCGTCCCGGCTGGGCGCCGGCGCCGGTGTGGGCACGGCCGCTGCTGCTGAAGGTACTGCTGTGGGCCGTGCTGCTGGCGCTGTTCGCCGAGCTGGAGCTGGGGCTGCCCTACTTCGTCCTGTCCCTCCTCTACTGGATGTACGCCGGCACACGAGGCCCCGCCGAGCGGCGGCAGGGCGAGCTGAGCGCTTACTCCGTGTTCAACCCCGGCTGCACCGCCATCGCCGGGACGCTGACGGCCGAGCAGCTGGAGCGGGAGCTGCATTACCGGCCCGCCGCCGGGAGGTAGCGGAGCTGGGGCCGGGCTGGGGAGGAGGAGGCGCGGCTGTGCCCTGCGCTACGCAGCCCGTGCCTGACTCCTTCCTCGCCGCTCCCGAATAAAGCCGTAACAAAGCGCCATCAGCTTGTCGGTGACTTTCTGCTTACCACGGGAGGCCGGTGTTGGACTGCACTTGTAAGGGAGTGCCCCGCTGCTTTCCCGCCCGGCTCTGTCTACACCCAAGACGAGGCACGAGGCGGTATTGGTACAACTGAAGCCAGCTGCTGCTTCTGATCATGCCCTTGTTTCATCCAATACATCAGATTTTGGTGCAGGTTTCTCGATTGCTCCGTGTTACAACGTTTGCTGTCTGCAGTGTAAGGTGAAAATAGCTGTTATTACTCCTGACAGGTGACACGTGTGGTTTTAACCATCATTTAGGAAAAATAAGGGACAATGAGCAGCAAATGCAGAACTAGAGTACTTGCTTGTTGCTGCACTTGGTCTTTTTTTACCACCACACAGCTGGTGATGCTTCTCACCATCATCCCATGTGCAGCCAGGTGCACTTTTCTTTATGAGCCACTTTGGTTTTTTAATGATCCATTGGTATTTCTATTATATAAATGATTGCATGAAAATAAACCACTGATACTAAGCTGTAGTGAAGAGCAGTTGGTTGAGTTTACACCCATTTTGTTGAAAACAAAAGTCGCAACCTTGGTCTTTCAAATCCTGTTTCATTGTGTCTTTTCTGTTTTAGCTGTCACTGTAGTTACCACAGGTTCTATCTTTTGTTGGATAAGCAAATGGAAATGTTAATTGGACTGAAAAGAGTAATAGGTTAGGGCACAAGTAATACCTTGTGACGCTACTAAGTGTCTTTCAGTCTCTCTCTGCAACACTATCAGCTTCTACCACTGCTCTGCTGTATAAATTCTACATGTTACCTAAAGCCAACCACAGAATTTTTCTCACTTCTTTCACCATCCTCTGGCTGAGATGTACAAACCAGCTGAGTTCTTGCTGTTCTTTTCGCTGATATCACCTAATTCCATATGGATAATGTGCTCCGTTTTGTTTTCAGTTAACAAAGAGATAAAGGTTCAGAGCACTCTTTGTAGTGGACACGGAGGTGGAAATAATAGAAATCTTTACTTTCATGGAAGAACCGTGAATTAGGAGTCTCAACAATCTTAGGAAGTATTCTGGTAATGATGGAGTAACAAACAGGTGACAATTTAGGAAAAGGTAAGTACACCAGTAAGTGAGAGCATTTTGTGAGCAAGTTGAAACTTTATTCACAAGGAATAAAATAAATGTGTTTATGGGGAGCTGATAATTTGACACCTTTCACAGATCCCATGGGTGTTTTAAGCAAGAAAGACACGCAAATAAATATTAAGGTAACATCCATGAAACAATAAAATGTTATAGCAGCAATAATGGAAATAAAGGCTTAATTTGCTTTAAACTCTAGTTACATAATGTCAGGCTGAATTCGTAGACTATTCTGTTTAATACTTTATGAAACAAATTACTACACTAAATGAGAATGAAGCTGAAAGGCACAAGAAATAAAAATTCATGCAGTTCATCTGTTCCAGTGCTTTCTGTTGCTTTTCTTATTTCATGTTACTCAAATAAATGCACAGTATAAATTCTGAAATAGAGATGGCAAAGATATTACTGAAGTAGATATGAAGTATTACGTTGAAATAATTTTTTAGGCCTTGAAGTATTTCTCAAAGTACCCTACTACTGTAGTTCTACTTTGATGGCAATTCCCTTCACCAGTTCTTAAGGGAGATAAAGAAGCTTAATTGGAGAGGAAAAAAAACACACCAAAGCTGTTTGTCTGAGATCATCACACTTTTTTTTTTTTCTTCACTTATATTCTAACAAGCCAGAACTTAAAAAGGTAGATTTGACAACTGGTGCTGCAGATATTCCTATGGGCCCAAAGCCCTCAGTTCTTAAGTGACTGGAATGGCCAAAAAGCCTCAGAGCTCCAAAGCACATCAAACCGTAGAAGGAAACTTTGTGACAGCAACAAAATACAGCTTAGCACACACAAATGTCTATCCTCCTTCACTGTGTATATTTTTTCCAGCATAATAGCATGTTACACATATCTACAGCTTCCTATTGCCATAGCAGAACAAATTTTGCTAACAGCTGCACAAGTGGCAGAAACTTTTTTTCTGGGTTTGCACACAATCAAGCAGGGCCCTGAAAAATTAGCACCCATCTTGAATATAATGAATGAAATTATTCCCTCTAGTGCGTGTTATATAGATTAAGATCTCACCTGTAGCTGGTACCTTTTCACCTACCAGTGATTCTCATGTTGCTGCAATCAAATGTAGATGCTAAGTGGAAAAATGATGCATACTCTGCATACAAGAAGCTAATTAATTATATTTCAGAACAGTGACTAATGTACATATGTAGTAGTCAGATATTGTATTAAGGGTGATGCAATGTAGAATCTAGGTATTAAATTTATAGAAGAGCCTGAGGTACTTCATTCCAAGGTCAGCTCTGCAACCAATGTTATAAAGGCACAGCCTGGGAATGGCCTGTGTAGAAGCCAGTGTGCTAGGCATACGCAAGCCAGCCTGAGAACTGTGGTGGATTTCTACAAATGTGTCTTGACTTTTCCCTGAAGCTCAATTATAAGCTTTATAGCAGAAGAAGGTAACCTATCCTCTCTAATTTAATTCTAATCTGCTGATTACAAAATTAATCCAACCTGTTGGCAATTTGAATTCTAATACAAAGATTAAATTATTCCATGCAAAGCAATCTAGCTTTAGGCAGGAAGGATACTGAATTATATCCAGTCTCCTTTCTTGGCAACAAGGGATGTGGATTCAAGTGCAAAGAGGGACTAGAAAGTATCTCTGCTGAGTAGTATACCTGCTAGGCTATGGAAGCCACTCTTATTACAAGAAGGCTATGGGCAGGAATGTTCTCAGACCTAGTCTTCAGCATCTTGTCTGTCAGCTGTAAAGTGGAGATGTATATCTAAGCTGCATAAACATATATAACACTTGTTATTAAGTGAGGCAATGGACCAAGGTCTGCTTGTAGAAGTGCCTCGTTTTCCCCAGCAACTCTTGTAAACATCAGCAAGGGTAACATAATTAGCAGCGTAGATACATTCTTCTACAAGAGCCCTTGCAGTTTTAAACTAACAAAAGCCCGTTGTGTTGAGGATGCAGTGGTGGGGGGTATTTTTTGAACCCAGCTGAGGGCAGGCCCTGGAACAGGTGGACAGCCCAGGCCCTGGGCACAGCTGGGAACTGTCTGCCATGCTGACAGTTCAGCCTTCCACTACCCTGAGTAGAACACCTTGCGGGTATCTCAGGTGCCTGGAGAAAATGTACAAGGCTAGAGAAGAGACAAAAGTGAGCCCACACTGTAAATACGGAATCACTTCCAAGTCAGTGAAGTCTGATAAGACAATTGTAACTGCAGGTTGACTTCTTTGTGTTTGCATCCACAGAAAGCAGAGTACAGCTCTGAAGGAATATGTTTTGAAGCAAAAGTCATTATCCTGTCTGTGTTCATACCTACCCATACCTATCCATACCTAAGGAGAGGCAGAGTACCATATAAAAGCGGAAGGGCTCTGCGTTTGGTTATTTCCATTGTTGTCAGCAGAGATGACACACATCTATTAATATCAGAATAGGTTCCCTAATAGATAGCAGTTTTGGTTTCTTTAAAGCAAAGTCTAAAAAGAACATTCAGGAATATACACCATGCTACCTGCTGCAGTTACAGACCTTCAAGATGCTGTTCTTCACCTTTCTGGTAAACAGGTAAATATATTCTGAACTTCAGATCTGGGGAACTTTCTCCAAAACTGATTCTTAAAGCCCATGCTGCCTCCCACTAAGTTTTTTCTAAAATGCGATAGCACCTTATCCTATCCTCGTAAAAGTCAACATGTGTTTTTTGTCAATAATCATATTCAGTTTCCTTGTAATTTAATCAGCCGATCACTCGGCTCGCCCACTCAACAATAATAAGCCATTGACCCTGTGGTTTCAGACTGGATCAATGCTATGCTAAGTTTTGGACACCTGGAGGCCTTGTGTGCAAATAGGAGGAAACTTTTAACTTACTTTAGACATGATCAATTTTTGCTCTGATGTGTTGATTACATTAGCAGATTGCTCTCCCTAGAAACCTTTGTTCAACAGCCTGCAGGCAATGAGCAGCATATACTCAAGTTTCTTGCTGGAGATGACACACTTAAGCCACTTGCTTGGGTATTTAAGGGTTTTCAGGTACATTATACAGTTCATTGTTCTCAATCTGGTTTCACCTGCAGAAATCTTAGCTGAATGTAGCCTGGCAAGTGGCAGCGTAAACACTACTGCCTACCGTGCCTCCACTACTGATGCTGTTGGCTGGACACTTCAGAGGTTTCATGCTGCTGTCTCTCTGGACATACAAATGTTCCAATCTCCAGCGCTCCCAACTTTTCCGAAACTCCATCTGAACCTAACAAGCAAAACAAGAAAACAAAAGGAATGAATATAGAAAGAATCAGATCTTTAAATGATTCTGTTAGAAAAGGGCAAGTTAATAAACATACCACACTACTGAGGAAAGACGGCAATGCTCTAAACCTCCATTATTATTGCTTCAATTATCTAATTACCTCATTAGTCTATCATAGGGTATTTCATATTTAAAATAACGATGGTTTTCACTTTCACTTTCACTTGCATAAAGCTCTTTTATGCTACAGCACACCAGGAATTTTTCAGTATTGTTTTCTAAATAGTATTCATCTGCAATACAGCGTGTACTCCATGCCCCACTACTATTAAGTTGATTTTACTTATCAACTATTAAATGAGTGAAAAGATTGACTTCCTGCTCAGTACTGTCACCACAGTACTGTATTAATCAGTATTATTCTTTGGCTGATTTCTGTTTGTGGAATATTTACTTTTCTAATTCCATGGAAAAGATATTTATTCAGAATTGATACATTAACGAACTAGCATATTGAAGCCTATACTTTCTTTCCCCCTTTTAGATAACAATTAAAGTATCTCTTTGCAGACACTGTAAATTTTTAAAAAGTTGTAGTACAAGGCTTATATCCAGTCACTGGTCCTGGGTTAAACTGTGTAACTGCTGTATCCATTTGGGAGTTTATCAAGGGTTTTGAAACTGTGTCATGGTTTGGGGTTTTTATTCTTCTCCAGTAAGAACAGAATTTTGAGTCTACCTGTTCCATGGGCAATGTTCTTGCCACTTGACTGAAGTAAGAAGTTCCATTAGCTTTTAACGCATAAGGAAGAGGACATAAAATTGAACCTTTTTTACTCTATTTAGAAAAAGGCAGGAGAGCAACTACAGCGATGAACTCATCAGGGTGTGCACTTCTGCCTGGAAGTAAGTGCGCTATGGTAGGTTGAGTTCCCTTTTTATTTCCTCTTAGGGTCTGGTACTGACCACCAAGAGACTAAATAGACTAATGGTAGTTCCAGCACAGGCCTGTCATCCTGTCCATGCTGCTGAAACTATCATTCTCTGAAGGAAACTTTCTAGGGAACCAGCTACTTTCTTCTCCACTTGTTTATTTTCAAATACCAAACCTGGGAAGAAACCCTAAAAAAGGAACAAAGTATGCACAGCCAATTGTCTTCCTTTACTAGTTACCCCTAGCACTGCTTGTCAACTCAGAGCTACAGCCCTTGTACTGAGTACCGTCCTGGCACAAGCACATGAGAGCCAACTGCATTTCTGTGTTACTGACTGTGGAATCTGTCCCCTGGTATCACAATCAAATGGGGAACTAGGAAAGGTGCTAAGATAAAATACTATATTTTACTATGATTCTGGGTGGCTGTTGTGTCAAAAGCCACACAAAGGCACAAGAAAAAAGACAGCAAGTCTGAGATACTTTGCCATATAAGAATGAGGAAGAATAACTTGATAAAGACAGAAAATGAAACAGTGAAATATAAGCACCATGCTGTCTTCAGAATAAGAATGATGATACTATCATTCCTGTAATTGGTAACTTTTGTGGGAATGGAGAAACGCTGTTTTGTTAGGTAGCACTGGGAATAAGCAGTTTTAGATACTGACAGAAAGATCCTGAAAGAGAGCATGAATGTGTTTATTGACAGAATGAGTCAACGAGCAATAGAAGCAGGTATTTAGAATCAGGCAGAGGTATGAAATGTCTTCCGTCTGGATGGACATGACAGGCAGTATCCTAGAGCTATGGCACAAATAGCCTGCAAGATTGAGATGAAGTGATTGGGAAGAACTGAACAAAAGACCATAGCAGAAATGATGCTTTAGGAATAGGTCTTGGTGACAGAATATTAGTTTTCACTCCAAAGGTTAAGGAAAAGGGTAAAGAGAAACTCTGCTTTCAGTGCTGAATTAATTTTTTTTTTTTTTTTTGCCTACATGGCTATGAAGACATGACTGAAGTTATAGTTCAAGATTTATTTAGTATATCTTGAGCACAGAAGTTGATGTACAGATCTTTCAGCCAATTAATTAGCCTAGCAGCATCCATGCATGGATAAATAGGCTGTACAGGGAGAAGGGAGCCAA